GAGGGCATGTGGCCTGGTATGGTTCAGGAGGGGGGGGCTCGCTTGTTAACCCCCCATTCCTGACCTGCTGGGCTGCATGCTCGTATAAGGGTCTGGTATGGATTTTGGGGGGACCCCCACGCCATTTTTTAAATAAATTTTTTTAATTGCTGGCAATTCTTTTACATTTAGCTGTCAGTGAGGAACCCCACTGACAGCTGAAACATTAACACATGGTTGTTACTACTAAAATACTGCATGACTTGATAAATTAACTCATGCAGTATTTTAGTAGCATTTACTTTTTTCTGACCTCCAGAACGGATTAATTGGTTTTCAATGCATTCCTATGGGAAATGGCATTTCGGTTTACAAATTTTTCGCTATACGAAAAGTCGCGCAGAACGAATTAAATTTGTAAACTGAGGTATGTGTATGCCTGTATATGTGTATATATATATATATATATATATATTGCACCCTCCTGGGTAGCTTGAGGGAGCTAGAGTTCTAATTGTTTGTTAGAAGGGCTGAGTAGCAGCCTTGGTGTGATAGCTAGCAGAGTCAAATTTGGGTCAAGGCTGAAGGGCTCTGCAGACTAGCTCCCTGAGACTTTCCCCTGCACTAGAACTTTGGAGAAATTTCTAGAATCAGTGGGAGGGAGTAAGGAGTGGCTGTTCTGCACTCTCAAGGGATCCTGGCCAATCCTCAACAGGAGGCTTGGCATGGGGCCAGGACAGCCCTTAAAAGTGACTAAACCTGCTCAGCAGCAGGAGAGTTTGGGTGGAAGATGGAGAAGTGAGGCTGAAGAGCAGGAGCCTGGGAGGGGACCCAGATGGAGAGAGGCTCACTTAAAGGAAGAGGATCTTGGAAGGAGGAAAGCTTGGGACTTCACTAGCCCCCAGAGCGAGGACTACCTAGCAGGGAAGGAGTGGCCCAGAAGAAGTCCTGAGAGCAGCCACCAACCCAGCAGCAGTATAGGAGAAGGACTGTGATTAGACCTGCACCCCCTGGGCCAGTATGGGGAAGGAGCACCCTAGTGGGAAACTGGGTTAGCTACTACCTAGGACTGTTCACACTGCAGTGGCAGGCACTGGATCTCCTGCCCACGGATTCACCCAGTACAGCTGGCTAGCTCTCCAAAAGGAAAATTGTTGCTGTAAAGACTTGTATATAGATGCAGGAATTTGTCCTCAGTTGCCATTCCCCTTGGGCATCCCATACGCCCCTTACCCCATCCAAGTTCAATTTCCCTAATAAATTTAAAAAAAAACAAGCTAAAGACTAGTTACCATCTCCTGGATGCGAGTCTGTGTGGAAACTATGTGCTGCCTGGCTGTGCAGTACTATAGGGGGACCCAAGACTTCATCAACTCCTAAGGGGTAGTGATAGATGTATATATATATATATATATATATATATATATATATATATATATATACACACACCCCTCCAAAACATTGGATTCAGATGTTCCAATCACCTCCATGGCCACAGGTGCATGCCAACACATTTTGGACAATTTCATGTTCCCAACTTTGTGGGAACAGTTTAGGGATGGCCCCTTCCTGTTCCAACATGACTGCGCACCAGCGCACAAAGCAAGGTCCCTAAAGACATGAATGAGCGAGTTTGGGGTGGAGGAACTTGACTGGCCTGCAGAGTCCTGACCTCAACCTGAAAGAACACTGTTACTAGTAAAGATTAAAAAAAATCCCAGTATCTATACAGCCATCTGTAAACACTATAACTTTCACGTAAACCAATTAATTTACACGTATTGGGATTTTTTTTTAGCAAAGACATGTAGCAGAATACATTTTGGCGTAAATTTATGATGAAATTTAATTATTTAAAATTTTTCTACTGGACACTTTTAATAGCAAAAAGTCAAAAATATAGTTTTTTTTCTCAAAATTGTCATTTTTTTTTTATAGTGCAAAAAATTAAAAACTCACAGGTGATCAAATACCACCGAAAGAAAGCTCTATTCATGGGAAAAAAAGAATGCAAATTTAATTTGGGTACAGCATTGTATGACTGCGCAATTGTCAAAGTAACACAGCATCGTAATGCAAAAAATGGCCTGGTCAAGAAGGCGGGTAAATCCTCTGGAGGGCAAGTGGTTAAATAAATGAAACCTGATAAAAAAAATGTAACTAAAATTTTATCTTTATTACCAAACAAAACCCTCATTACCCTTTAACAGACTAACATGCTTAGTCACCAAGACGGATATATACTGTTTGTTTTGCTTTTCATTCCTATTTTAAACTGAATGGGTTGTTTTTTACAATTTAGGGGTTCACAAATAATGTAATGTGGTATTAAAATTTAAAATTAAAAACACCACTGGCAGGCAGGGTTTTTAATAAAAGAAGAGACACTGATGGTCTCTTCTGACATAAATGCTTCCTCCTGTCTGTCAGCAATAATGTTCATTGAACTGCATGTGCGCAGCTCAGCATTATTGCACCCACCCTGTGCTGTGGCAACGTGACTCCTGTGCACATAACAATAACGTCCTCACAGCCATTCAAGCGGCAAAACACAGCAAACCCAGAAAGAAGACCGGGTGAAGATGGAAGCACCCCTGCACTGACAGCACAGTGGTGGAGGTCTTCCTTTGATAGGTAAACCTGTCATAATATCTTGTGGTGCATGATAGCAAACTATGGCATAAAGCTACGGGTGACCCAGATAAAAAAAATTAACCCCTTAACGCCGACGTAACACAAGCAGCCTGACAGAACTGTTTTTTTTTTCCATGTGGCCGCATATTTGCGTAACTGTCTTTCTGCTGGGGGTGCGTAGCATGGCGCGCTCCCAGCAGAAAGACCGTGGTGTCTAATGATCGGGACCCGGGACTCCTGAATCCGGGTCACATGATCGCTGTGATAGCCTCTGATTGGTTATCACAGTGATCAGTCACTGTACAGCTCGGCCCCCTTGTTTTTTTTCTCTCTATGAATGGAGGAGAGAGATACATTGTATCTCTCTAACTCCTGGCATAGAGGGGAAAAAAATGTTTGTAGAAGAAAAAACAAAGCAAAACAAAAAACCCATAAATAAATAAATATTAAAAAGTAAAATAAAAAATACCTAGATCAAGGTTTGATCTAGTTCAGTGCCAGGGTAAGTGTTTGGGTTGAAGGTCAAGGTCAGGGTGAAAGGTCAGGATTACAAAAAAAAATTGGTATCAGTGTCAGTTAGTGTCAGTGTCAATGTATTTTAGGTAAAAAAAAAGACAAAAACAAAATGTGCACTATTGTTTCTGGGCTGTACTACGGGTACAAACAACAAATAACATACACATATATGGTATCGCTGCAATCACCAAGAGCTGGAGAATTTATTTTGGGTTGTTCTTTGGTGGTAGGTTATGGTAGTAACGAAACACACAGCTAAATTAAAAAAATAAACTTTTTTTTTTTACTATTTTAGGTCAGTTTTCCTTTGATATTAAAAAAATCAGGCGATATCCATTACCATTTACCACCAAATGAAAGCCCAATTTGTCCTGAAAAAAAAACAAGGTATAATACAAAGTAGTTGTGATGATATGTACGGTTTTACTAACACATGTCAATGTTGCAAAATTGTGCTTAGGCATTTTGATTTGTTTTACCCTTAGTCGTGAAGGGGTTTTGATCATCTAGCTTGCTAATAAGGCTCTTCATGGCTAGCACCCCATTATATCTTGAATTTTTTATCAGCTCCCCCCCCTCCCTTGTAACATCTGCTCCTCAAATTCTGATCTTCTCCACACTTCTGCTATGCTCCAAAACTGTGGAATTCACTTCTAAAGAACATCAGAGAGTCATCTTCTCTGAACTCATTCAAATCAAATCTTAAAACTTTTTTCGTTAGACAAGCTTTTATGTAATTGTCCCTTTTTTCCTTTATATTATCCTGTGTATTTCTTTTGTAAAGTGCTTTGAGAAGCTACCTTTAAAGGCGCTATATAAAATAAAGTTTATTATTTATTATTATTATGATTATTATTACAAAAATGTTCAACAGGGCATTAAGTTAACCTGTGATTTGCCTTTTCCAGTTGCATAAACCCATCCTTATTTCACTTCCCTCCAGCTCTGTTCAGACTCTGAGACGAAAGAAAGGAAATTCTTTATAAACTCCAAGTTGCAACTTGAAGCTAACGCTGAACTAAGGAATCTCTCCCTACCCCCATATGACACAGCTGAGTGTTTGAGTGCTATATCAGAGGAGGATGGGGAATGAGTCACACACTTCCTATTTCTGGGTCCTTCTGCTTCTGTTGTACTACTGTGCAGGGACCAAACCAAGAAGTGTTCAGCTCGGAGCAAGCAAGCACTCAGTCAGCCGGGGTTGGTGCAGGAGGTATCAGGGGCCCAGTACAGAACTGTTGTCACTGCACAATACTATCACATATGGGGCTCATCAGACCCCTTGTGATGATGATAATAAAGCTAAGTAAAACAATAATTAAAGTGAGCTTAAACTCATTGAAAGCCGGGTAATTAAAAGGTTTGTGACCAGACCAAATTTTGCACTTCCGCTATGCCACGATAATTTGTTTACAATAAATATTATACATATATATATATATACACACACACACACTATATTGCTAAAAGTATTGGGACGTCTGCCTTTACACACACATGAACTTTAATGGCATCCCAGTCTTAGTCCGTAGGGTACAATATTGAGTTGGCCCACTCTTTGCAGCTATAACAGCTTCTACTCTTCTGGGAAGGTTGTCCACAAGGTTTAGGAGTGTGTCTATGGGAATGTTTGACCATTCTCCCAGAAGAGCATGTTTGAGGTCAGGCGCTGATGTCAGACGAGAAGGCCTGGCTCGCAGTCTCCACTCTAATTCATCCCAAAGGTGTTCTATCGGATTGAGGTCAGGACTCTGTGCAGGCCAGTCAAGTTCCTCCACCCCAAACTCACTCATCCATGTCTTTATGGACCTTGCTTTTTCATGTTGGAACAAGAAGGGGCCATCCCCAAACTGTTCCCACAAAGTTGGGAGCATAAAATTGTCCAAAATGTCTTGGTATGCTGATGCCTTAAGCGTTCTATTCACTGGAAGTAAGGGGCCAAGCCCAACCCTTGAAAAGACAACCCCACACCATGATCCCCCCTCCACCATACTTTACACTTGGCACAATGCAGTCAGGCAAGTACCGTTTTCCTGGGAACCGCCAAACCCAGACACATCCACCGGATTGCCAGATAGTCAAGCATGATTTGTCACTCCAGGGAACACATCTCCACTGCTCTAGAGCCCAGTGGTGGCGTGCTTTACACAACTGCATCTGATGCTTTGCATTACACTTAGTGATGTAAGGCTTGGATGCAGCTGCTCGGCCATGGAAACCCATTCCATGAAGCACTTTACGCACTGTTGTTGTGCTAATCTGAAGGCCACATGAAGTTTGGAGATCTTTAGCTAGTGACTCTCCAGACAGTTGGCGACTTCTGCACAATGTACACTTCAGCACTGACCCCGCTCTGTCATTTTATGTGGCCTACCACTTCGTGGATGAGTTGCTGCTGTTCCCAGTTGCTTCCACTTTGTTATAATACCACTAACAGTTGACCGTGGAATGTTTAGTAGCAATGAAATTTCACGAATGGACTTATTGCACAGGTGGCAACCAATCACGGTATCATGCTTGAATTCATTGAGTTCCTGAGAGCGATCCATTCTTTCACAAATGTTCATAGAAGCAGTCTGCATGCCTAGGTGCTTGAATTTAGACACCTGTGGCCAAGGAGGTGATTGGAACACCTGAACCATTGACTTGGAGTGGTGTCCCAATACTTTTGGCAATATAGTGTATGACAGTGATGTATGGTTCATAAACATGTGTGCCTATTTCTGAAAATAAGGCATTTTACAGTACAATGGCAATATTTCAACAGGTCTGCCATGACATTCATGCGGTATTGAATCCAAAACCAAAAACTGAATATATTGCAGATTACCAATCATTAGATGTGCTGGCTGCATTGGTTTTCTTTTTTTTCCCCGCTCTATAGTCACCTGGTGATCTGGCCAGTAACACACCTCCTGTATTAGAGTGCCTATGCAATGGATGAAAGAAACCCCTTTGGACAGCAACATTTTTAGTCTGGAGGGAGGGTGGTGTTAGATGGTTTGGCAGATTTAGATACACTAACAAATTGAAGCCAAACTCCAGTAAACACTTTTTAAGCAGTTACAGCAAACAGTTTTGTTTCTTTTGGGATAAAGGTTTTACATAAATAACAGCTGATAATAAGTGAAAATAGTATTAGAATCTGCGCTGGTAAATATAACATCAAAAATAAAATATACAAGCTGTCAGCACTATATCCTGATACTGTGAATATAAAAACATATATGTATGGAGGTGCAGCGCTAAAATAACCAAAAATAAATAGATAAATAATATGAATGGTGTACAAATAAACACTAAAAAGTGATCAAATCAGTCCCAGTGCCAAACAGACACTATATAAATAACGTCCATCAATCAAATCTCGTGTCTCTAATGATAAAGAATATCAAGTGTATCCAAATGCACCATTTGTCACCCCACTCAGTGCTCCCAGGAGGCTTACCGGATAGTATTGACCATCATGTTATAGAGTGGTCAATTAAGGCACAGATATAATCAAACAGCAGCCACTCCAAAACTCCTTCTTAGCCTCTAACAGCATTCCCGCACTCCGAATGGGAAGATCGTTGTTTTGCACATTGAAAGCAGATACATGGAACAAGGAAAGCTTCCATAGTGTAAAATCCTTAAACAAATATTTATTGAGCCACAGTAATGCACTTACATCACAAACAATCCGGTACAGCGTATGAGGGTAAAAGACCACGTATACCACTTCAAAGATGGCCACAGGCATGCACGCATGCGTGGTGATGTACGCCCTAGCACCACCCGACACATTTCATCAGACACAGTGTGTGTGTGTATATATATATATATATATATATATATATATATATATATACACACACACTTCCTTCAATAAACTTTCACCCCCTTCCTGCGCAGGTCAATTTTCAGCTTTCAGTGCTTTCATATTTTGAATAACAACTACTCAGTCATGCAATACACAAAAAAATTTTTCACACAAATATAGTTTTCTTTTGTGGTATTTGATCACCACTGTTTTTTTTATGCCTTGCTAAATAAATGAAAAAAAACTGAAAGTTTTGAAAAACAACCACGTTTTTCTTTGTGTTATAACATTTTGCAAATAAATAATCTCAGGGCTTTTTTTCTCAGAGGAAAGGTGGTGGAACTCCCCCACCCAAACCTGGCCACGCCCCCATCAAACCCTAGGACCACCCCTTTAGAGAACAGGAATGCAAGTAAAATTTGGGAGGGGCTTCCGATGACATCATTTCCCGTACATACCATATAAGGGAAATGATGTCATCGGACCCCCGGCTGCCTCTTGCATGATCTGCATGAAACACATGCATAGATATAAAATGACTAATGTACTGACACCAGAAACACATGCATAGATATAAAATGAATACCGTACTGACACCAGAAACACATGCATAGATATAAAATGAATACCGTACTGACACCAGAAACACACGCATAGATATAAAATCAGTACCGTACTGACACCAGAAACACATGCATAGATATAAAATGACTAATGTACTGACACCAGAAACACATGCATAGATATAAAATCAGTACCGTACTGACACCAGAAACACACGCATAGATATAAAATCAGTACCGTACTGACACCAGAAACACATGCATAGATATAAAATCAGTACCGTACTGACACCAGAAACACACGCATAGATATAAAATCAGTACCGTACTGACACCAGGAACACATGCATAGATATAAAATCATGGCAGGCCGTTTGTAAACGTCCAGCATAGATATAAAATCAGTCTAGCATGCATGTGTACCCTGTCTGGTAGATGTGCCTGCTCCTACAGGCTCCCCTAGGGTTGCCACCTTTTCCTCCAAAAAATACCGTCCATCACTGAATTTATCTTTCCTGTTCCTCATGCACAGGAGGGGCGCTCTCGATCGGCGCCGCTGAGCGCTGAGCAATTGCGTTCTGAAATAGTTTAGGTGGGCTCAGGTGGGTGAGGATAGTTTAGGTGGGCTCAGATAGTTTAGGTGGGCACAGGTGGTTGGGATAGTTTAGGTGGGCACAGGCTGGGGAGAGAGTAAAAATTTAGAGCAATACATGATACTGCAGTCAGTGACAGGGAGCCGAGCGCAGCTTACCTACTCCAAGCTGTACGGCCCCTGCGTCCACGCTGTCACTGCCGTTGATGTCGCCGCGCCGCCCCCGATGTTTACACGCCGGCGGGGGGGGGGCGGTGAAGCGTGCATAGTGTCCTCGCCCATCGTCCGCGCCCCCGATGTTTACACGCTGGCGGTAGAGGGGGGGGGGTGAAGCGTGCATGTCCCCGCTCACCGGCTGTGAGCAGCGGCAGTGACAGGTGCCGGGCACGCGCAAGCATGACATAAACAAGCCGCGTCCGGCACCTGTCACTTTCGCTGCTCTGCATAGCTTGTCAGCTCTGCAGAGGCAGTCGGTGAGCGGGGACAAGAAGAAAAAGGTGGCGGAACGCAGTACCGCCGCGTTCCGGCAGAAAGAAAGCCCTGAATAATCTTCATAAACTAGGGCCAAAATGTATTCTGCTATATTTCTTTGGTAAAAATAATTCAAATCCGTGTATATTATTTAGTCTGTGTAAAAGTTATAGAGTCCACAAACTATGGTATATATACAGTATTTGAAATTGATCAATCCTGATGTACTGATGGCCTATCTTATTTCTTGAGGCCCAGACCATACAAATACCCCCCAAATGATCCCTTTTTGGAAAGTAGCAAGTCCAAATTATTTTGAAAGAGGCATGGTGAGGTTTTTTTTTTAAGTATTTTAGTAACTAATTAACTTTTTGGAAAATGAAGAAATTTTAAAAATGTGGTTTTTTTTTTACAGTGCAGTACAGTGTCATCATAAACCCGCTGTGGCAGGGATCGAGGACACTGACTGTTTTTTCAACTTCTTTCTTTTTTATTCCATTTTTTTTAACATACTATGACCACGGCAATACAGTGTTACCATAGTAACACTCTGAAGAGGTGATCAGATTTTTTTCTTCTTTTACACACTGAAAATCACTGTTATAAGCAACGATTTGTTATGAATTAATCTATTCAATGAGTGTGTATGGTTGTGATTAGCTGTGATTGGCCACAGCTAATCACATGGTACAGTTGGCTGTGATTGGCCCTGTCTGTACCATGTGATAACTGTGACCAATCACAGCAAGCAACATAACAGTACATAATGAATGGCTGTAAATGGCAGCCATTCATTATGTACAGTTGACATGTGATCTGCTGTAATTGGTCACAGCGATCACATGGTACACTGATCTAATGGACACAAAGGGTGACAGATTATGCCGCAGCATGGCCCATGAGGCTCGATCCTGGGAGCATGTCATATGATGTCCACACAGAATGGGAGTGCTCCTCAGCGTCATTTGACCATAGGCCTGGCAGAAAGCAGATATACTGCAAATAGGTTTAATGAAAACTATAAACCCTTAAATACACTTGAAATACAATTATCAGGTATTGAATGGCTGTGCATCTCTGTGATTTAAACAATGTTAACAATATGCGCTTAGGTATAGTAGGTATAGTAACATATACACTGTAAAAGTTCTGAAAAGGACTAGGTACTAGCTATTGCCATTCTCTGCCTACTACAGTATAATTAGAGTTGTACCCAAAGTATCCAAAGACAAATTTGCCTACAGTGATTAACAGAAAAAAAATGCTTTTCTTCGTGAGAGAGAAAACCTTTCTGTTTGGCTACCAAACTGAGTCAAACTGGAAATAAAATGATGGCTTTGACTGCATTGTCACAATGATTTGATAACTGTGATAAAGTAAAATATATGAAAAAAAATGGCATTTGATCTGTGTTTTTACTGCCTATGACTGCCCACCTAAAACTGTGCAATGTTAGCTGGAGGGGGTAGTACATATTGTTGTGTGCTTTGTGGCGTGCCAAATATTATACAACATGTCGCATTTGACAGACAGTACCACCGCCAAATGCGAGCCATGTAAGTGAAAACACTTGGCTTGCGGTTGCAGCATGGTATTTAAATAAAGAATCCTCGCTCAGCTGGGCATTCTGGGCATTCAGGAGGTGACACAAATGCATTGCACCGCAGAGAGCATTTTAGAGGAGTGCCTATACGAACAAAGATTTAAAGGATACAGTCAACAAAGCTGAACAGAAGACCTCCCACACAAGGCTGAGGCTCTGAGGCCAGTTAGAGAGATACTGTAACAAGACATATACTCAGACCTTAGTGCATCCAGTGTAACGTACACTTAACAGGCCTGCAACTGCAATATAAAACAGGGTTGTCACAATGAAACTTGATCTATATATCAAAGAAACATACAGTATGCGCTTGCTGGCTGAGCAGGGGAAACTACAAGGATCTATATTATTCAGCCTTTTTGCCAGTTAGCCACTTAATAGAATGGGAATCTATCAATTCTTTGACTGTAGCTGCTGGGTAATAGAGGTCTTTACTTCATTGTATACTAGGCAAAAACTGAAAATGACAGTTGAGGGGTAAAAAAGGAACTTTACTTGAACTGTAAAATAAAGACACCGTTAAACATGCTGTAAATGCCAATGTAAAATTA